GAATGGTCCAGGGAATAGAAAGAAGATTTAGATGACGCTTTCTTAATTTAGCAAACCAGATACTGAGAAAAGAGTATGCACTAGAGAAGAAGAAAAGCTAATAAAGCTGAGGACTGATTTAAAAAAAAAAAAAATTGTGTGTAAGATTGCACTGGAAAATTTGAAGAGGGTTTCCAATTGCCAGAGAAGTAAGATAGCAGCTGAATTATTTTTAAGATAGAACTTGGTACATCTCTGAATGCAATGTGGTTGACAGCAATAGAAGAGTAGTACCCAGGAGGTCCTAGCTGCTCCACACAACCCAGGACACCCCTTCCAATCTTATGCCCACACAAAATAGAAGCTTGTCGTCACTGCTACTCTGCAAACAGAAAAAGAGGGTAAATTTCACACATTCACTTTTGAAGTAAATTATCCACTGCAAGTTTTGCACTAGTTTTATTATTCAGAAACTTGTGCAGTGAATAGAATTCATCTAATATTAATGAATTCTCTTAGTAGAACAAATTTAAAGATTTGTGGTTTAGTACTCTAATGACATGCATCAGACTCTCGGAGAACGCTGGTTGCTATCAATCTCACCTACATCAAGATTTTGCAGTTTTCTCTTTTTGTCCCTCACAAATCAAATATTTCAATTATGATTTACACAAATTAAAAATTTCTGTAAAAAAAAAAAAACAAAAACAAAAAAAAACATAAGTAAAAATGTAATTTAAAAGAACTGCTGGGTCCAAAACCACTCTGTAGCATTACAGCCTCAAGGCAGTACTGCTCTAGCATCCAACCTACTTGATGAAAGCTATCTGTAAAAACATGAACATATAAAGTTATAGGGAGACATCTATAATGTGATCCAAAAGTTGTAGATAAATAAACACTCTATTAAGTTACTTATAAAGTAGAAATGTGGAGGGTCTCTTACTGAAACTTGTTTCAGAATAGCCTTTGGGATATAGCTCAGACATCCTGGGGAGCTGAGCTTCTAGAAGTTATGTAGCACGCAACTCCTGGGGGACAACATTTGAGGGGTTTTTTGTTTGTTTGTTTTTGGGGTTTTTTTTGCATGGTTACTCTCTTTTATTTCACAGAGTTCACTCCTGGTGGTATGTGCACTCATGATCCTCAGCAGATCTTCAGGTACGTAAGTCTGAATCAACAAAACAGGCCTGAGCATGCTCCAGTTAGTCAGATATTCCCCTCAGGGAAGTCTTCTGAATCCGCACGATTCACAATGCCTAAATGACCGAGTGGAGAAAGTGAAAGAACTTACCCTTAGTGATAGGACTTAATTTAGTTACAGATCTCAAAACTGTAATTATCCACTTGCAGACATGGGTCTTTGTGCCCTTTTTTTATACTTATATATCTAAAGAAGCCCTGAGCTAGCAAGTTTAAGTGACACTACTGCTTTGCAAGTAGAGTGTCACAATCAGAAAGGAGAAGAAGGAAATAAAACCTAAGCTGATAAATGATTCTATTCATTTCATGGGAGAGAACAAATGGAGAAATCAGTTGTGGGTCCCTTTGCAGATCTAGTTGGAAGTTCACTAGGAAATATTCAACTACAATTAAAATGGTTGCCATTAAAACATCTTGGATAGACGAAATACACATTAGATCAAGTGGTAGCCAGTGTCTCCCTCAGAGCACCCTGAAAACTGGGTTTGAATTCATAAGCGACCTGATTGTACATGTGCAAATGCTTCCATATAAAGGTTAGGCGCCCATTGTTACTGCAGCATCTGTTAAAAAAGATAGCCATATCGGTTGCTAGGAGATGGCAGAATTCTCCTGGAGAAAAATCACTCCTGATAAAAAAAAAAAAAAATGATTTTACATAAAGACCTTCTTAAATATAAATATCTTTGACAGCAGCTATTATTATTCACTGAGTTCCTTCGCAACTGAATAAATGGCAGAAAAATATATTATTCAAATATCATTATATCCTAAAGTGTTAAATAGATTTTTCTCTCTTTTCTCCCCTCCTTTTTTGTTACTCCAATGTGATATTTCTTTCCAGCTAAAATTACTGCCTTCCTTTTTCTGTAGACCGTTACATGAAAGAAACGTTTGGAGAACTGAGCTCAAAAATTGAACTTGCTTGTCTTCCACTATGAAACCAGCTTTGCTTAAAACAAATTGTACAGTAGGATAAACATTTTACTGGGAAGGAGCTGGGATGCAGAAAGATGAAGGGAAGCTTGCAGCAAGTCTCCACAAATGGATGGATGGGAGAAGGCAGGTGGGAGGCTGTCTCATGAAAGCAACCAACCACCCAATTTCATTTCAATAATGTTTGTAATTTTCTCCCTATTGGGGTTGCTGGAAGTACAGCTGCCCTATATTTGTGACCATGTGCCCAGCTTTTGGTGAATATGACCCTAACAAATACAACATGAAACAAATGATATACTTGCTGTTTTAAACTTGTGTAGTCAATAAATGAAACAATAATCTTTCCTAATTTAGTGTGCTCAGACTTGCCATTGTGGCCATGAGAACTCCTCAGCTGCAGAACACAAAGGCATGCTGCCCACACAATACACAGTTCCAGCAGCTGTGCCTTCCATTGACTCAAGCTGGAAGAAATGTAGATCAAATACCAACAATAACAGATCAATGTTGTAAATATTAGCATGAGAAAGAGTGCACCAAACTCCGAGTGTATCTTTTTTGTCCGGTTGTAATAAAGTTTCTCAAGAATTTTGTACAGGGGGACAAGAGTGTGTGTGCACGTGTATTCTAAGTGCCTCAGAACCAGGCAGCAGCATGTTTTCTTGTACAAATATTGACAAGAATCCTTCGGTTTATTTGGAATTTTCCTAAGAAAGCTGCAACAATACAGTAAGGCCTCTTTGCTACTTTCCACACAGTTGTTTCAACTGCTGGCACCAGGAAATCCTTTTTGTTTTAATCAACACCACTTGGAGTGATGACGCTTCCTTTTTTCTGTTAGTGACAGACATGGTGCATTTCCTTTCACAAAGTTCTCATGAGAGACTTTTGTGCATGTATATCCAACTGCAAATGTGTATTTGCAAGGTAGCTGAAAGAGGTCACTGTATTTTCTTCTTCTACTTTTCATCCCAATACTTTATGTGTCGTTGCTGTACTTTCAAATACAAAAATGAACTCAAGAAAAGCAAAGGAACTACTGTCAACAGTTATAATAGAACATCTGAGAAACATTTGGAAGATAAGGAGTTGTTCATTTAGTGAAGCTTTCAATTTAAGTTCGGTGCTGCTTTCCTCCTCAGTCTCCTTTCTACAGCTTACACGTGAACAAAAAACTGTACAGAAAGACATCAGTGCATTCTCGAATGTTTTATAATAATTAGACTTAATTAAAGTTATTAAGGTAATTAGAACGTAACATGCATATACCCCAACTATTGCACTGTGATGAATATTTTTTGCAGCACCATATTTTTCTCTGCAATTGTGTATAATACAGACAGAAAGAAGCACTAAGAAATTACTTCTCTCTAATACAGAAAAGAACTGAGCCCCTACTGTGCTGATAGCAGCAAGAAATGCTCTGCTTCCATTGCTCAGAGATCAGTCAGGACTGTCATTCCCCATTCCCACAAACCCCAGGCAGTGCAGGAATTCACCACCTCACACTCATGTCAGTGTTTGGGACCAAAAGAGAAAATGCACTTTTTTGCACAATGCTATTTCATAACCAGCACCATGAATAACTGAGCAGAATAAAATTTTGACTTCAAACTTCTACAGTTAGCACGTGACCTTCAAAGAGCTTGATTGCAGCAGCTGCACAGTCACTGATCCGCTGCAGTATACATGTTTTGTCCTCTCTGTCCTTTCTTTCCTCTGCCTTGATGAAGTGAATTTGTAGGTTCCAAGCTTCATCCAGCTAAATAATGCAAACCAAGCAACATTTTGTGTTTTCTGCATTTTTTTCAAATTTATCTTCTCCTACTATGACTGAGACTTCCTCTTTGTCTCCCATAGACCTTGGCATTATCCTTCGGTCCCAAACTTTATTTTCTGTACCAGCTCATACCACTCCAGACAGCAAGAACTTTGACACCAACTTTCTTGATGGTGGGAGTAAATCCCAAGTTTTATTTATTTCACAGTGCTTAAGACAAAGAGTTGTTGAATGCATTTGCCTTTCATTGATACTCTTTGTCAACAGACTTTTCAGAGTCTTAGAGTGCAAATGATGACACCACAGCCCGCAACTCAGTAGTTAAAGTATAAAATGCACCTGAACCATCTCACTCTTTGTTGCTGAAAAAAAAAAAAAAAAAGGAAAAAAAAGGGAGGGCTTACAAGCAGGAAAGGTATCAACTTTCTACAGTCTGATAGCGATAAGACAAGAGGAAATGACTTAAAGAGGGCAGATTTAGGCTATATGTTAGGAAAAGATTTCTTACTCAGTGTGGTGAGCCACTGGCTCATGTTGCCCAGAGAAGTTATGAAAGTCCCATTTCTGGAGGCATTAAAGGGCAGGCTGGATGGAATCCTTTGCAATTTGATCTTGTGCTTAGTAACAGGTCTTTAAGATCCCTTTCAAACGAAGCCTTTCTATGATTCTGTGATTCTATGAAAACAATAAAAGTAACAGAAGAAAGAAAGAATTCTTTGTTTCCAGAAAAGAAGCTGATATGAAATGGAGCATACAAATGGTTTGACTGCTCCTATTTTCAAACTGTAAATTCATTTGTCTTTTGTGAACAGGACTGTTCTTAAGGGATAATCACAAATGGACAGTTCAGGAAGGAAAAAAATCATCATTGAGAGTTAGATCTTGCACTATTGACACTCAGATACAACAAAAGATTGTAGTTTTTAAATTCACTTTATAAATGTCTGAAGAGTTATTTTTTAGAATAGTAATAATTAACTGTTTCATTTAGGGAAAATACAAGGCCTAATACAGATACTCATAGAATCATAAAATGGCCTGGGTTGAAAAGAACCACACTGATCATCTAGTTTCAACCCCCCTGCCATGGGCAGGGTCCACAACCACTACACCAGGCTGCCCAGAGCCACATCCAGCCTAGCCTTGAATGCCTCCAGGGATGGGGCATCCACAGCCACCTTTGGCAACCTGTTCCAGTGTGTTACCCACCACCCCCTGTGTGAAAAACTTCCTCCTGATATCTAACCTAAACCTCCCCTGTCTCAGTTTAAGGCCATTCCCCCTTATCCTATCACTATCCACCCTTGTAAACAGCCATTCCCCTTCCTGTTTATATGCTCCCTTCAAGTACTGGAAGAGCCTTCTCTTCTCCAAGCTAAACCAGCCCAGTTCCCTCAACCTTTCCTCATAGGAGAGGTTCTCCAGCCCCCTGATTATCTTACTGGCCCTCCTCTGGACTCATTCCAAGAGTTCCATGTCTTTCTTGTGCTGGGTGTTCCAGGCCTGGATGCAATAGTCCAGGTGAGGCCTCACAAGAGCTGAGTAGAGGGGGAAAATCACCTCCCTCTCCCTGCTGGCCACTCCTAGAATCATAGAATCACCAAGATTGGAAAAGACCTAAAAGATCATCCAGTCCAACCATTCACCTATTACCAATAGCTCCCACTAAACCATGTCCCTCAACACAACATCCAGTCTTTCCTTGAACACCCCCAGGGTTGGTGACTCCACCACCTCCCGGGGCAGTTCATTCCAGTGCCTGACCACCCTTTCTGAAAAGTAATACTTCCTCTTTTAATGCAGCCCAGAACACAGTTGGGCTTCTGGGCTGCAAGTGCACACTGCTGGCTCATGTCCAGCTTCTCGTCTACCAGGACCCCCAGGTCCTTCTCCACAGGGCTGCTCTCAGCCCTGGTTCTTCTCCCAGTATGCATAAACACCTGGGATTGCCCCTACCCAAGTGCAGCACCTTGCACTTGGTCTTGTTGAACCTCATTAGGTTCTCATGGGCCCACTTCTCCAGCCTGTACAGATCTGTCCCTCTGTATGGCTTCCCTTCCCTCCAATGTATTGACTGTAACACTCAGCTTGGTGCCATCCACAAACTTGCTGAGAGTGCACTCGATGCCATTGTGTATGTCATTGATGAGGATGTTGAAGAGCACTGGTCCCAAGACCGATCCCTGAGGGACACCGCTTGCGATCGGCTTCCATCCTGGCACAGAACCATTGATCACTTATCTCATAGTTGGAAACAGTAGAGATAATGGTTATTGTTTTTGAAATTCTTCCAAAAGAGAGAACTATGCGAGTGGTAAGCTATTATTACTACAATGCATGACAAATTAGGAGCTTTTTTTCTCTTTTTAATTTTATATGCTGAAATATGTATGTGTATATATATGTATATATATAGATAGATAGATACACATATACATATATATTCATAATACCGTGTATTCTTAAGCCATAGAGTCATAGAGTCATTTAAATACGAAGAGACACTTAAAGGTCATCTAGTCCAACTTCTCTGCAATAAGCAGGGACACCTTCAGCTAGATCAGTTGCCGAGGGCCTGATCCAGCCTGGTCTTGAATGTCTCCAGGGATGGGGCATCCAATGTATCTCAGGGCAACCTGTTCCAGTGCTTCACCACTCTCACTGTGAAAAAAACGTTTCTGTCATGTCCAATCTAAATCTCCTCCAAGGAGATTTAGATTAATGTGCAAGGGCACATTACTGGCTCATATCCAGATTACCATCCACCACTATCCCCAAGTCCTTTACAGCAGGGCTGTGCTCCACTCTTACGTCCCCCTAGATTGTACTGAAAGAGAGGGTTACCATGACCCAGGAGCAAAACCTTAGACTTGGATACATTGAAATTTCTGAGGTCCACCTGCTTGAGCCTGCCTAGGTCTCTCTGGGTGGCATCTCACCCTTCAGGAATGTAAAGTCTTAAATTCTATAGTAAAAAGAGCATAATAATTATAAAGGGGCAAAAGCAATATATCAAGAAAAATAACTACTGCCTTGAAGAATAAAGATTATCTTCCCCCCTTCTTTTTTTTTAATGCTGGTATATTAATTGCTGTTTCATATTCAGAAGCAAAATTGGACAAAAGAACTGTGACTGAAAAATACTTTTATAAGAGAACTGGATGAGACTTGCTCCTGTTAAACTTAACAACCACTTTTCTGGGATTCCTTTAAAAAATAAAGAAAAGAAGAAACAACTCTAGACATGCAGGAAATACCTGGTTTTGTGTTGTAGGCAGTCATGAAAATTAGGAAATATATTTCTAAGTGTCTTGAACAACAGACCATGTCATCATGATAGACATTTGGCTCTTGTATTAATGATACGTAATGTAGATTCTCTAACACATATGTAGATGGGTAGGACACAGCTGGGTTCACAACTATGTACAGCAGAAAGCTTTCTAAGTGTTTCAATGGTAAAGCTACATTTGACATATCGGGGATATGTTTCACAATACTTTGGACGTTTATCTCACCTCTTTGAAAACATACCCACTTAGTTGGAATTGATCCAGACAAATTTTAAAAATCACAACAGTAAGAATAAATAAAATCAACAATATACCCATTTCACAAGCAAAAAAAGTCTGAATTTAAATGCTAGCTCTGACTTCTGCTTCATGCACAAAGTTAATGGGAGGGGGAAAAAGAGAGAGAGAAATTCCAGTATGTCTTTTATCAAAAGTCAATTCAAAGCTCAATATAAAGTTCAAATCTTTTGCAGCATACATTATCATTAAAATGAAATATTTAGTGTTTCTGTATTCTGGTCATCTTTTGAAAATAACCTCCAATGTCTCAGAG